AGAACCCTGGAGACACAGTGCAGATCCAGGAGGGTGTCTTGCCATCCTTGCTGGAGCTCGTAGTCTCTGTGGGGGACTCGGATATTAATTAGATATCACAGAAGTGAATGAGAGGTTTCAGGGTTGACAAATAAAAAAAAAATCACTCTGTGGACCTCAGGTTCGCCATGTGGGTTATCGGCACTGTTCAGTATAGTTGCCATTAGCCACCTGTAGCTATTTATATTTAAATCAATCAAAATTAAATAAAAAATTCAGTTCCCCAGTTTCAAGTGCTCAGAAATCGTGTGGGAATGCATTATGGAAGTTCCTCAAAAAATTAAAAATAGGACTGCCGTATGATCCAGCTACTCCACTTCCGGGTAAATAGCCAGAAGAATTGAAAGCAGGGTGTTTGCACACCTATGTTCATAGCAGCAGTATTCACAGTAGGCAAAGGGTGGAAACAACCCAAATGTCCGTGCACAGATGGGTGCAATGAAACGCAGTATATACGCACAAGGGAAATTATTCAGCCTTAAAAAGGAAGGAAACTGACACATGCTACAACATGGGTGGACCTTGAGGACAGTATGCTAAGTGACCCAAGCCAGTCACAGAAAGACACATTCTGTAGGATTCCACTCACATGAGGTCCCTAGAGGAGTCCAACTCAGAGAGAGAAAGTAGGACAGGGGTTGCCAGGGGCTGGGGGAGGCGAGGAACGGAGAGTTGTCGTTTAATGGGTAGAGCCAGAGTTTTGCAAGGTGAATAGCTCTGGAGATGGGTTGCAGAACAGTGTGAATACACTTAACACTACCGAACTTACCGTACACTTAAGCACGGATAAGACGGTAAATTTTATCACAGTTACAAAGAAAAGTCACCTGGGGCTGGTGACTACCATATTGGCTAAGCACAGGCACGGTCATTTCCGTCATCCCAGATGGTGGAGCAGCCGGTCTTGACCGTCCCTTCCAGCCGGCTGAGCGCCCTGGAGTCCTGGGACCGGGCCCCTGGTGGCTTTCCATGGAAAGCAAGGATTCAGTTCACGGAGTGTCTGTGGGCAAGGGGTCTTTGATATTCCCTTTGGGGTCCTGAAGGCAGACCCCAAAGCCAGGCAGGTGTGGAGGGAGGGGACCCTGTATCTCTGCTCTTTGTGCTTCCTGTGAGCGACCCAGTTGCCTGCAGAGTTGCCTCTCTGAGGATGTGGTTGCAGGAACGGGTCCTTACCTGTGCAGGAGGCCAGGCGCTTCCCCACATCAGTGCACAGGGTGGGGCACGTCTGTGTTTTTATTACTGCTTCTCAGGGCCCCTGGTGGGCGGGCTGTTGGGTTCGCTTTGAGCTTCTGGAGCGAACACTGGTGCAAGTGGAGGGGGCCGGCTGCAGCCCAGGCCAGACCCTCCCTCGCTCTGGGATCCCAGGGCCCATCGGGGGTGGTGAGGGAGAGTCCAGGGTGCAGCACTTCCCCCGGGTCCTGCTCGGGAAGGGGTGAGGGATCCTGGAGGAGGGTGGGGGTGGCGCCCGCCCCAGGGCTGGGTAAAATGACTCCTAGGCCCACAGACAGATGGAAGCAATTTTCGGTCACGTGGTCTGGGCTGAACTGCTG